GTTTTAAAGTTTTGTTTACATTAACCCATTCTCCCCGGGTGTCACGTATATGTGACAGGCCCACTGTGAGTTTACTTGTTTAATAGTTTTTACACATATATGGCTACACTTGTACTTGTACTGCCTGTCTTGCCTCTTTACCCTTTTCTTTAATTTACAAAATTATTTTGCGTTATCTTATTTTGCTGTTACTAATGTTTATAACATAGTAATTATAATGTTTATAATAAAAAACCATCGATATTCATAACACTAGTAAAAAAACATTTTCCCGCCAATTCAAGTAAAGGTGAAATCAGGTAAGGCAGAGCCATCTAGTGTATAGAAATTTCACAAAAAAATATAAAAAATGAGCACAGCATTTTCCCAATTTTTTGTTCATTTTTACCCAGTGCGAATGGGTTAAGAATACCTGTACATAAATCCCAATAAGTATTTTTGAGGGATTGATGCACAGGTAAAGTGAATTATGGTACAAAAATTGGCAGTACATGAAGACACAGTGAACAGATGCTTTCGTGTTTATGGCGGGAGGGCAGGCGACTGAGGCGAGTGATGTGCACAGCTGAGTGAGCACGAGGCACCACGGCGTGGCAGACTCGTGAACTATATTTGCTAGCATCTTTCAAACAATTTTGTTTACTTAAGTATTTAATAAAATTTGTTCGCATGTATGGAATGTTTGTAAGTAGAATGTTCGTAAGTAGGGAACTATCTGTATATATATGTATGTATATATATGTATATATTATTATGTTTATATATGTATATACAAATATATATATATATATATATATATATATATAAATATAAATATATATATATATATATATATATATATCTAAATATATATATATCTAAATATAAATATAAATATAAATATATATATATATATATATATATATATATATATCTAAATATATATATATTTAAATATATATATATTTATATATATATATATATATATATATATAAAAATGTATATATATGTATATATATTTATATAAATATATATACATATATATACACACACATACACACACATTTATACAAATATATTTACACACATATATACATATAGAGGGTGAAGAAGTTAGTACCACTACTATTACTACAAAAAAATAACTATAAGCTCAGTCCCATTAGAGAAATAACTTTTAATCCGGTCAGGAGTATTAAAAAATGTAAAGTTTACAGACCTTCTGGATTTTGTCCACTGTTAGACCACACCTCTGCACCGCCTCCCTGACTGGTTGCAGAAAGCTCGAGAGAGCTGAGGAGACTATGCCTTCAAATCTTGCCCGAGAGAGAGTTGTGGAGAAGTCAACACCTTCCCACAGAGATTCAACATAGACCTGAAAAGCAAGGTCCAAGGAGTCAGTTATCTATAAGTATTAAGGAATATATCACAGAATGTAGACTTGATGGGCTTACAAAGAAATACTTTTATTACAAATAAATGCTTTTACCTGAGCTGTTCCCATTGTGGAAAGGACATGCTTGCCATTTTCAGCAGCATTATATAACTTCCTTTTAGATCGTTTGCTCTCAAGAGGATCACCCTTATATTTCCTGCAGTATGATAAGAAACAAGTTTTAGCAACCCATAACACTAATGTTAAAATGCAATGCACTGAGAAGTTATATATATATATATATATATATATATATATATATATATATATATATATATATATATATACACTTTTCAATACGATTTCCACAAAATTTTTACAAAATGCATACATCTTTCAATACCATAATTCATTCTAGTAACTACATAAAATAAGTTTGACTTACGCATAAAATTCCTTTGCAAAGTGCTGCACAAGTAAATCAGTTAGGGAATCCCCTGCAACAGAGGAAGATGTGATCGACTCTTTCACACTTACTAATCCTCCAGCAATTTCAACCACAGAACCTACAATGGTTGTACCTCCACAGTGTAGCACAACAACTTGCCTGGTAAGGAAGATAAGTCTGATAAGCAACTGTTCCCCTAAGAGGCTGTAATGGACCTGAAGTAATATTTAAAGTCATTTCCAACCTGTTACACAAAAATATGTATTAAAAAAGGTACATGTAAAGCTCTTTAATATATGCACCTAACTAGTCATAAGAATGAAACTTCTGGGCATGAATACAACATTCAACAATCCTGTTAGACATTGTTACTATTTCTTTCAGTTCATAAAACTTCTGTGCACTTATTAACCCATTCCCGCCGGGCATGCCATGCCATGGCCACTGTGAGATTACTTGTTAGATTGTTTTCACACATAGATGGCTACACTTGTACTAAATCACCAATGAGCCAGTTAGAGTACCACCTGTCTCGCCCGTTCACCTTTTTCTTTGATTTACGAAATACTTTACGTTATCTTATTTTGCTGTTACTAATGTTAAAAAACATTATAAATATCACAATGTTTATGATAAAAATAACACCATCGATATTCATGGCACTAGTGAAAAATACGTTTTTTCCCGCCATTTCAAATCAGGCACTAACAGAGCCATCTATGGGCAGACATTTAACAAAAAAGTATAGTAAATAGGCACAGCATTTTCCCCATTTTTTGTTCATTTTCCCCAGCGGCAATGGGTTAATATCATAATAAACTTATTTTCATTCTTTATCATGTAATTGTTGAAATCCCAAATTTTCACTAGACAGTCTCTCAAACTACAAAAATAATTGGTGCTTACGTATTACGAGAACAATCTGCTTTTCAAACCTGATAAAATATACCTGTGGCCGATTCACCCTACTTAATTAATCTAATCCACTGAATTAAAAAAAAAGACAAAATAAGTAAAAGAGCTTGAAGGCCAGTTCAAATTGGATTTTACTGCATATTTCATGAAATACCTGTAGTTATATCTATATTATATTGTTACTCTTGAGCTGAACTTTTTGCCAAGTAAAGTATACCCACTTTATAAATTGTAACCGCTGAAAACTTGATTGCACATAAAAGAATTTGTTGTGGGTGAATGGGATCCAAAATGGGATTTATTGACATTCAACCCTACTTTCTAAATGCCTACGCATACCACACTTACTCCTGTGGTATGCGTAGAGTACAACACAGTGAAAGGAACACACGAGATGAGTCTTAAGGTAAGCGCTGAGCGTGGGATCGTGTGGTCCTGCCCTCTAGCCCTGAGAGGCCAGAAGCTAGATCTGGTCATGCTAGTTGCTGAGGCACAACTCAGGGGTCAAACAAGGTCAGATAAACTCATCTAAGTCCTCACTGAGGCTTTGGTTCTTCACTGGACTTCAAGCCACATATTCTATGTCTATTGGCTTACACAAATCGTGCTTATGTATATGGTATATTGCTCGGCCACCTAACACCTTGTCCTCAAGCTGCCTTAGATTTGCCTCAAGAGTGACCCAACTTGGCAGGTCCTGACTTGCTGGTTATTTCATTCTCGCGTGCGCTGTCCCTGTCCCTTTGCCCTGCAAAAAGACTCTTTTTGCAGGGCAAAATCTAGTTCTGCAGGGCAAATTTTATCTTACAGAATCTGCCTCAATAGCCGATAAGTATTCAAGATATATAAATAACTATATGAAACTAATTGTTGATGATACTTGATTTATAACATTTTCTAGCGCAAAGTGTCTAATTTTTTATTGTTTCAATTGAGTTTCAATGAAGCACACAATAAAAAAAAATCATTGCTTCACTGAGTTTAGGCCAAGCAGGTGAGGATAACACCTTTCAAAAAATCAGGCGTCTTCTTAAAATTCATGAAGATTTCGTTTCATTCTCGGTCACTTTGCAAGGCTTGCACATCTCCTATTCCACTTCTAAATCAAGTATCTTACATCGAAAAACATTAACTTAATGTATTTCATTTAAAAAAAGCTGATACCTATCTATTTTCAACAAAAAATTTGCAAAATAAAACTTTAATTCACTATAAAATAAACATTATCATTATTTATGTTATTTTGTTCATTTATCATTTGTAAATACTGATTGATGATCCATTCCGGGCAACTTATAAAGAGCTAGTGAGCATTTTCTTTTTCGTGATTTGCAGGGCAAAAATGATTTTTCCAGGGCAAATTTACCCGTCACCCCCCCAACTCATAACATGAAGTGACGCCACTGGGTGTATCTTCATGGCTGCTCGTCCTTATCGTCCTCTTCATCCTCTTCATCCTGGTCCTTGGTAAATCAGTCCTTCCTCGACGTCCACATGTCCTCGAAGGTCTCGCACAAGCCCTCCTTGACTTCGGATTCATCTAGACTTCCTCATAGTCCTCTCTGCTGCGTGCTCATCCAGACGTCCTCATACTTTTCATCTGGATCTACAGGCATCCGGGCAGGAGGCGTCCTCTTCAGTATCTCAGGGCAGCTGATACCTGCGCTGACAAAATCTTGGAGTTTGACTGGATCTGCAGGTGTCCAGGCAGGAAGCACCTGTCCAGAGCACCATGGTGTGACTGGTACCTGCGCTGGATCTACAAGCGTCCTGGCAGGTGGCACCTTTCCACATCCTAGGATGGCTTAATACCTGCTCTGATGACCATCCTGGTCCGTAGGCTTCTTGTGATCTTCCGGTGATATCCTTCCCACATTAATCTAAGGTGACTGTTTCTGCAGCAGGGTCCTCCCCTTCAGTGCCATGTCAAATATCAGTGAACAAGATTATACACATAAGGGCCAAGATAGTAAGAGAAAAAGAAAGGCAACAGAGAAGAAGGGGGTGTTAAGCATATAGCTGGTTATTTACACTAACTTACATTTTTTATGTTCAATTTTATATCATTTTCATCTTTTTTGTGATTTTAAGTTTTATACTCACAAGATAAGATGAAAATAGGAGAGAGAGACGTTAGTAGCAATCCGCAAGGACCTGGCTTGAACTACTGCCTCTGATAGATAGGAGAGGAG